CAATACATATATCATACCACTCCTATGTTCTTTGTTCAGATCTTTAAATTACTTGCTAGTCAATTTATAGATTTTGTAGTAACATCTGTAAACCTCTGTTGAGACTTTATCTAATTTTCTTTGACAAAAAACTGATGTATGCCCATATATAGTCATGATGTGCCTATATATGATCATGATGTGATGTCATCATGACTATATTTAGGCACATCACATGTTTTTGTCATTGTATTGTTGTGTGTCTCAATGGAAGTCAATTATTTTATCCTTTAATTTCATTGAATTTGTTTGTATTTTTTCTGATGTTTTCAAAGACAGAATATTTTTAAGCATTCTAGTTTTTGTTTTTATTAATTACATCATTATATTCAGTAAATAATCTTGTTTTATAAAAAACATATTGTTTTATAAAAAAAACATATTGTTTTATAAAAAAACGTATTGTTTTGCAAAAAAACATATATACCAGTTGTCATAAATTATTATCAATTGCATGTTTTATGTGAAATATATTATGTTGTACATATTCGTTCAGAATGTAAATATGAATTAAATATATAATATTAATAAAAATTTAAATAAATAAATATAAATAAAATAAAAGAAATTTAATTGAAATTATGTACTTTTTGCATTCCTTTAGGATTTAAAAAAACTAATGAACCAGTGTATACATCATGTAATTGGAGCACCTCCAATAAGTTCTTGTCCAGCGAGTCCAGGTTAGTAATTTTAACAAATTTTACACCTTCATTTATCTCCCCCCCACCCCAATTCGTATTTAGTTGTATATTTATAACAAGTTTGCATTAATACTGGATTAACAACTATTTTATCATAACACCACCAATTGTATAGTTACCTAATTGTTATTAAATTATGGTTAGCGAGTAGAATCTATGTTGTTCTTGTACTACTGCACCAGATAAGATAAGATAAGATAAGATTGTAGCTGTGCAAAATGAGTGTTAAGACATTTTAAGTGTTGGGGAAGGGGGTGGAAAACTAAAGGCTGGGTGGCGCCGCCCACTGATACTGGTATTGAGTATTTATATTGCGCCTTTCCCTTGCGGTTATGAAGGGCAAGCCAAGCCTCAATAATTCAGGAAAACAATGGTAGGCATAAAATCAGTCATTATTCAAGAACCTGAAGCATCACAGTTGTACAGTCACACAAACAACAAAGACAAATAAACAGATTACAACAATAAAAACACAAAAGGAAAAAAGCAGCAAAAAGAGAGTTAGGCAAACATACAGTAACTACATACAATAACACCATACAGTAACTACATCCCCAACTGCTACTACAACCCCTACTGTCTTTACTAATTATACTACTGCTACTTCTGTAAGTACAGTATAAGGCCAACTCAGGTATAAGCCCATCCCCATTTTACACCTAGTTTCACATACCAGCATATTCCTGTTTAAAGGCCAATTCAGACAGCGTCGTACGATGTACGATTTCTTGTCGCGTCGGGTCTGTGTGAGTTAAATGCAGACGCGATGATTTGCGTCAGGGGCAGTCGCGTCATAGAATATTAAACATGTATAATATTTCTCACGATGGCTTAAGACTGTCCCCAACGATAAATCGCGTCGGGCTGTGTCGTACGACGCTGTCTGAGTTGGACTTAAAAGCCCAGGGTATGATTTAAACGAGTACCTCAGCTGACCTTTGAACTTTCAGGGGAAAAAAAACAGTGATTGCTTTGATTTAGGCATGTAAAGTGGAACAATTTTTTTTTTATGAACAGGGGGTTCTCCGAGTATATGTCCTTACCCCAAAATTGGTCCAGTTTTTTAGTGGGTGGACTTACACCACTATGGTACTAGTTCTAGTACCAGTGCCATAGTTACTGAAATCACTAACTCTATTATTAAAGTAAAAACAAAAATAGATTCAATGTTTAGATAATATAATAAGAATATTTTTTTTTTTTAAATAATGAAAGGATGAAATGGACCTCCCAAGAAACTCCAAGGATTGGAGACCCATCACATCAATTGTTTTTATTTTTATAAATTTATATATATTCTTTTATTTTTTAAGAGCTAACCTAACAACTAATGTTTAAAAAGCTAACCTAACAAACTAACAAAAGCTGAAATTAAATTTAACTGAAATTCAACAAGGGTGGGGCAGAGTGGAAGGAATGCCTTTGCCACTACTACTGGTACTGCTGCTGCATAATAATATTAGTATTATTTATTACTACAATTTACTATCTATAAATCTGTTCTATTTAGCTCCTATTCATCGCCCATCAAGTCCAACGCCTGAGTCTATAGGTATGACTAAGCCAGGACTTCGTAGCATCCATTCTACTCCAGGCTCCCCAGTACCCAGTGACTTTCAACGTAATAACAATGATTTGTTCAGGCCTGTATATAGCCCTTCCGAAGAGAGACTGGGTAAGGTTATACTGTGTTTTCACTACATCATCATCAACATCACCATCATCATTGTTAATATTTATTTTTATTATTGTTTTTATATTATTATTATTATTATAATTATGATTCTTTTAATTACTGCAATTTACAGCATGGTAAACAAAGGGATCATTGTATTTTTATTTAACTATCCACCAAAATATTTTTTATGTCAACTTCCAACAGAACCGAATTTCAAGCCAGTAGAGAAACGATCCAGCCCAATTTCATTCAGTGATAAATTACCACACCCACGTATCGTACAAATGCGCAAGTCCCTTAAGACGTTAGAGGAAAAAAGAATGAAGAAGCTGCAAGATGATGGGGTCATAGGTCATGTCAGTAATCATTCAACCAATAACAACGCAGTGTTCAATTGCCGTAAGGTCAAGTTCAGGTGGCAGAGAGGCTTCAAGATAGGTAAAGTGAACTTTGACATTTGATAAACTGGATGGATTAATTTATTGGTTTTTATTTCATGTCCTTAAATGAACAAAAAGCAAATGTAATAAATCAAAGCAAAGAGGCTAACAAGATAGATTTTACCTATGACATTTAATAACCTAGGGAGGTTAAAGGTGAAAGAATAAAAATGCTAACACCTGACCTCGTAAAAATGTAGTTCAAACGCTATTGTTTCGTCTATTTCGACCCCAATAAAACACTAAGACCGATGTTTTCAATGCATTGCTGGTTAACTTTATTTCTTCCAATATAACGGTACAACCAACGGTACGGTACATATGATACGCCGTCTAACAACGTAAAAATATACAGTCTAACCAACGTCATGATTGAACTACAAAATAGTAACAATAGATAATAAATAACGATAATCATCAATCAATCAATAACTAATCATATTAACAATTAATAAGACTTACGAATTGGTCCTCATATCCCATAATGGCATGCAAGGCCTATATTAAAAATACATGCTAAAACAATCATCTAAACTTCCAAATTATATTATAATTAATTTATTTATATATCATATAAGTAAGTCTACTTACAAGGTGTGCTCGGCTTGAGATCGATAAAACAGATGAATCTTAAAACCGAACCAAAAGATACTTTCGTATGATTCTCTACGCACGCGTGTATAAACCATACGCGCGTTTGCCATAGCAACAAGAATGCGAAATAATGCAAAAGAAGTAAAAATTGCCATAACAGCTATAATAGGGAGCTTTCGATTGCGTGACGACGGTAGGACGTAGAACGCAATGACGTCACTGAAAGTCATCTGCGCATGCGAGAACGTTAAGGTCACTTAGTCAAGTAGATTCTGGAACGCAATTTGGCTAAATCTACATATGCAGAAAACGTAGGACGTCAGGTAGGACAGTCACGCATGAGTGATTCCGTTCTAGCGTTGTGTCTTCGCACAAATCGAAAGCTCCTTATTATTAGTCGGTGTGTATTCACATTAGTCAAAGGTCAATGTATTCTTCATTCATCCATGAGAAAATTACAGTTACACAGGATGAATTTGATAACTGAAACATAATTTAAATAGTTATTGTTCTTATGTTGTATTAGGTGAAGGCCAGCAGGGAACAACAGTTTATTCTTGTATAAACATGGATACTGGTGAAACGCTCGCTGTGAAAGAGGTAAAGACCAGTGTTGTATCTGTCGGGTGGGAGGTTAACATGTAGAGAGCTGATGGGGGAGAGCCCAATGAGAAAATGAGGGAGAGCTAGCTAAGGGTGTAAAGTGGTAAAATAAGTGATTTTTATCTACCTGAAGTACTGTTTGTGCTCAGAAAATTCTCAGTCGGAGGAGAGTAGGCTTTCACCTACCTACTTGAATCTAGGCTTTATAAATTCATTATAATTACATTAATATTTGACTGGATAGATAACTAAATGCTCATGATTTATTGTGTTTAGATGCATACCACATGTACACATGTATTAATATGCATATTTTGACTGTTCCAAAGATTCGGCTGCAGCGTTTTGATGACCACAGTGCCCTGCGAGACCTTGCTGACGAGATCAAGATTTTTGAAAGTATTATCCATCCGAATTTAGTAAAATATTATGGTGTTGAAATTCACAGGGTGAGTTAATAACACTTCAAAATTTTATTTTCACCCACGTAACAGTCTTGTCTGGTAGGTAACAAAATGTATACATCAAGTACATAATAATGAATAATTATTATGTTATAATAATGACGAAGTGTTGTTTTGTAGGAGGAGTTGTTAATTTTCATGGAGTATTGTGACGATGGAACACTAGGTGAAGCGGCCGAGGACTGCCTGCCGGAGGACATGATTCGGCATTACATGTACGAGATCGTCACGGCAGTCAGTGTACTACACGAGAATGGCATTATCCATAGAGACATTAAAGGTAAAGCATCTTATAGTCTATCCAAGTGGGGCCAAAAAAGGAGCGTTCACTTTGTGGACCTGTCCCTACCAATCCTTTCAGCAATACTGGATACACACAATTTTTAGAACTCAATAAAGAAAGCCGTTTATCCAACTGAGCATTCAAATCCTGTAGTATAAATAATTCCTTGCTTAGCCATGGGGCTTATGTTAACTGGAGCTTATCCCCAGTTTCAAGCAGCGTGAAGCAGATGAGAGCATGACATGCCCCTGGGTGGGAGGCTGGTCTACTGCAGGTTACTCTAAAAAATTTTGTTGGTACCTATTGATAAAACTGGGTAGACTGAAGCAAAGTAATGTGGTTCGATTTATGTGGCGCTTCATACCGAAGTCTCAAGGTGTGGACTTTCTCCCCTAATTTGAATTACAGCTCCAATTCATTGCTAATTATTGGTGATTGCAGGTGCAAATATTTTCCTGTCCTCGGATGGTCATCTGAAGTTGGGTGATTTTGGTAGCGCCATCAAGTTAAGCTCCCGCCAGACTTTACCAGGGGAAATCTCGGAATACCTTGGTACGCCTGCATACATGGCACCTGAGGTTAGTATATGAACAAACATTCCAAACTTAAATATTTATATTGTTTATCTATTTTGTAAATACTTTTTGATAAACCGACTATATTTTTATTACTTTTAGAATTATTTTTGTAAATTCTAGTATTATATATATATGTTTCCTATGCTGTTAAGCATAGGAGGGGAAAGGGGGGGTGTGGGGCGAGTAAGATATTGCACTGAAACCAGATCCAATTGCCTGACCTCTCAAAATGATAATTGGACTCTAGGGAATGTACCAAACATCCAACAACTATCGCTTTAGATTAAAGGACATTAAAAAGTCCCTAACGTTTCTTTGAAGACAGATCCTGGATCCATATCATTTCCTTATTTCTATTTACATCATTCCAAATCGTGTAATATTTTACCAAAATGGCTGCATAGAAAATCGGCCCTCACAGAGGTATGGCTATCACAAACATTGATAAGTTTTATTCTTTGATCTTAACAGGTGATCAAGCAGAGCGAGAAGAAGGAAGGATATGGACGTGCCTCGGATATCTGGAGCATTGGGTGTGTGCTAATTGAAATGCTTACAGGAAAGGTATGTCAACACTACAACACATGAACGCAATCTGGCCTCTGGGCCGCAAGGTGTATTGTGTTTTAATGTGACCTTATCAGATAAAAAAGTAGAGTTAGGGAAGGAAATATGATGCTTGCCTTCCCAAAACCAGCGTACTGTTACAAAATGTTAAACTGAGTAATTAGCATAAGAATGTGGTAGTTTTGTATACTTTAGTACAGAGGAGCGCAGATATTGTGTACATATTTATTAGTTTCTCATGAATATTGATTTATACCTCATATATATTAATTAAAAGCTGATACATATTAGTATCTCATATTTTTTAATTGTTTATTCAAATCAATAGGAAGAGAAATTTAATACATAAAATAAAATAATGAAAAATGGCATTGATGATACTAATTACATCTAAACTATTCTTAATTACATTTTATATTTTGTAAATTATTTTTCTTCTATCATGATTAGGGTATAATTCTGTATGTAATGTATATTATGTGACATAAATAAGCTACATTATCATGGTTAATTAAATATTTCATGCATTGCATATTAATGACAATTTGTTATTTAATTGGGCCAATATTATCTTGTATTTTACACACCCATAATCTATTCATTTTTCTTTTAAAAATAGTTTTGTCTTTTTTTTAAATCCCCAAAATAATTACTTAGCTTTTATGTTTATGACCCACAATTAAAGCTTGCTAACAGTGGGGTACCTTTTTCACAATAGTTAATTTTCATTTCAACTTTATTGTACACAAATTGAGTTTTCATGGAATAAAATATTACTTGATTGATTGATATTTACAGCGCCCATGGCATGAGTACCGACATGAGTACAGCATTGTGTACAAAGTGGGTGATGGAGCGATTCCCAAGATTCCTGAAGCCGCTAGTGAAGAGGCCAAAGATTTCCTACACCATTGCTTGCAGCATAATCCTGAGGATAGGTGGACTGCCAACAGGCTTCTTGAACACCCGTTTATCAAGGTAAGGCAAAATCTTTTGCTTTTTGTTAATTATAATAACAACAACAATTTGTATAGCGCCATATCTGCAACATGCGCTCATAGGCAAAGGTAAAGGTAGGAGAATAACCCATAACTTGCAGCGTCATGTGCTGAATTCCGTATGGACGTGGTCCGTGACTACCTAGCAGCCGTAAAGAGGCGCTTCTTGGTAGATAATGTTCACATCATTCCGCAACGGCAGGGGCTGAAATGAACCATAACATCGGGGTAACCCCCTACTCATCCGAAAGATACAAATGGGTTCTTTAAAGTGCACACGAGCCAGATGTATACACTGGACCTCCATTTTAAGTCCTTATCCAAGAAGACTTGGTTCTACCAACCGAACCATGGGCGAGGAGCGGCTGGAACCAGCGCCGATGTTAAGGCTGTAGCTGGTGGCGCCCCTGCCTTACCGCCTGGCCACTCGACTCGCCCATGGCGCTGTCCCAAGTCAATGGAGATTATCAACCGTCTTTAAATCTCCTTAGAAATAGCTTTGAAATGAGTGTGTTTTGTTTTCTTGCATTTGGGTGAAATGTGGATTAGTTTTTGCATTTCTTTACACTATTATGTAGTTGTGAGCAATTAATGTTTTATTTGTTTGATTGTATAAATTGCATTGATGTTTACAAATATGCATACCATTCAGTAAACCATGAAACAACCAACAGTGATAAAACATTTCATAAAAGGTATGTACTTTCAGAAATGTGTAGTTAAAAGACAATAACAATTAAATAATTAATTTGATAAAAAGTATGATTAAAATTGTTTGTTATTTTTAGGTGAGCTAGATCTCCTGTCGACAGATGTGTTAGCTATACAGGTAAAAAAAAAATTACAGACGTCAGTCTTTGCAGGGTAACAAAACAACTCTATGACAAGTTTGTTAAAGAAGAGGTGGTGTGAGATTGGAAAGCTATCTGTATTCAGTGTTTCGCTGCCAGGGATGTGCTTTTACGTCTGACAAGGTTCACTTTGGGCTTCAAAGATACGTCAAAAATAGGGAGCTTTGGATTGCATGACAGTAGGACGGTAAGCGTCATCTGCGCATGCGTGAATGTTAAGGCCACCTCGTTGAGTAGATTCTGGAACGCAATTTGGTCAAATCTACGTATGCAGAGAACGTAGGATGCCAGGTAGGACGGTCACACATGAGTGATTCCATTCTAGCGTTGCATCGTCGCACAAATCGAAAGCTCCCTAATACCACTATTGTATTAATAATATATAATAATATCTCGAATTTGTATGGCGCCAATTCCAAACAAGATCAAAGGCGCAACACATGTGAAAAGCCATCGGAAAACAAATAGGTTTTAAGTGGTGACTTAAAGTTGCAAATAGAGTAGGAGGAAGTTATGTAATTTAGGCTTAATGACAGAGGTCGAAAATGTTAACTCTCGCCCTGGACATTCAGGGAACAGTGATCTAAAAATAGATACTGTTTTGTTTATTTTTCATTACACTAGACTACAGTTGATGGAAATGATTTTCATATGATGGCCTTTGTATTTATACATGATGAAACTAAAAAAAACGGCTTGGCAGTCGATGTGTTAACTGGCTATACTGTTATAATGGTCTTTAATTAAAGATTATTACTATAACATGATCTAATCAGTTAGCTGGCTGTATATGTTTAGCCTACTTTAGTGGAGGATATTATTCACAAGCCAGTGGCATATATAAATAGTAAGGGGGCCGACCCAAGTACCCCACCAAAAACTTGCTGAATAAAAAAAATATATTCAAGTAGTTAAAAATCATCTCATATACCATTGTGTCCCAGTTAGCCCCACCCCATATCGATAACTGATGAGGATAAATAAAATTAAGATACCTATGCTATTTCAAAATGTGTTACTCATCGCAGAATAGATAACTCTATTATTTTTCATAATTCATAACAGGCATACATGTGAATGTGTGTGAACTAAACATCCAGTAATTTAAACAATAATGAAAAGGGCATTAGTAATTAAACAAAAATTGCTATCATTATCTTTTTTTTTTATACTTATTGAGCTATTATTTATTTATTTAATATTTTTTACCTCATCTGTACAATAATAGATATGAGATGGTACTGCTGAGTTTGCCTGATATTTAATAATAAATAGTTATAGATAAGATTCTTATACCAATGGTCTTACAATACCGTCATTGTATGATAAAACTGGCATCGGGAGTGCAGTAATTCTGCTTCGCAGCAAAACCAGATACAAGTTAAGGCCCCATTCCCGGCAAAATTTCACCAAAATGAGATTTTTTTTTTAAGGAAAAATGCATATGCTTTACTTCAATTATTATAAACCATGGAAAACTATTGGCATAAATTTTAGTTTTACGAAAAAGATTAAAAAAAAAAAAAAAAAATGAGAAGGACTATTTCTCATAGGAGACAACCATTTTTTTTATGACTTCTTCGTTACTAGGCAAATTCCGAGGTTGTAGATTGCATCCACTGGAATGCTCTCACTTTTATGTATACTTTATACAGTCAATTATACAGTCAATAAAGTGCACCCTCTCTAGTGAGATTAGTTTTGTATATTTCACATCTCGCACACTGCAGTTGATCGAGTAGGCCTGAGATATGTTTGTTTAATTGTCAAAATCTTGGTCAGAATCATTTTTTTTTTAAAACAAATTTGAAATAATTCCAATGAAATATTTTGTCACAAGTGTCAATACTAGCAACGGAAAATATAATGTCTGATAAGAGAACCTAAATCGTGGTAAGGCTAGGTCTAGCTTAGCAGTGTCGCTAGGCTAATGTTTCCGGCGCCTATTATATTTCTTCGCAGATCTATCGCAAAATCAACATAACAAATTCATCCACGTTTATTTTTTGTGTGGAACACAAAAATCAATTTTCAGTCTTAGTTTACATTTTTTCATGTTTGCGAATGTCTAAATTCAATTAAACTAGCAATTTCGTGTTATTTTATAAATCTTTATAACATATATAAAAATCAGGTTTTTCGTAACAACTGAAATTTTGCCGGGAATTTGTCACATTATAAAACATTTTGATCAGACACACTTCAAGAAAAAATAGAATGGACCTTCCGCTAAACTTCACCCCTTGGATACTGTTGATAAGGAACAAACAAACATGGCTGAGTGGTGCTCATAAGTGTTAACACAAAAGAAGTGAACATAAAATAAATTTGAAAATTGTATATTGTTGCGTTTTATGAAATGGATCAATAATTAGAGGGCCTTTATTGAGATGTTACTGTTGCAAGTAAAATTTAATACAATGCAATTATGTTTGTATTAATGTGCAAAACCTAGAATAAATTTGTATGTGTCCGTTAAAATATATATTAATTGGGTGAACAAGTTATATATAAAGCAGTTGATCATATAGCTTTAGTTTACCTACTCTGGGTTATTAGAAATACCGGTGTAACTACCTCATAACCACAGATTACTTTGGGTTAACGAAATACGGGTGGCTGTATCCCATTTTATATTAGTGGTAGAACATTATAGTTCCAGTGGCTCCAGGACCTATTTGGTTAGCAGAATGCTGGATATACTTCATTTGTCTTATTCAATATCATGCACGTGATTTAGATATTGAGGTAAATTCGGTGGTTGTCCTGTATTCACAATTCACTGCACAATTAGATGTATTTCTGGTATTGTGGTATCTGGTTGACAATGTTAACTGCTATTTTAATAGAAGTAGGCTGTAAACGTTGTTTAATAATTATAACATCTGTGCCTTTATTTTTTCAAACATTTCCAGAGTTTAAAAAAAAAAACTATAATGTAATTTCTTTGCTGTCCATATTTTAAGTTATTTCTTTAGTAATTATACTGTCTGTTAATCTAATAAATTTAAACAATAACATATGACATGCCTAAATATGGTCATGATGACATCACATCATCACCATATATAGGCATACAATAGTTCTTTGTCGAGTAATATTTGACAGTCTGGACAGAGCTTTAAATATATGAATTGCTTACTTTATATATTTAAGTTTTTAGCTGTCAAAATTTAAAACAAAAATATTTTTCTTACCGATTAAAGCCAAGCTCCGGAGGAAAACAAATGTTGATATGTTGTAGAACTGATTTTTTTAAACAGAAAAAGGTTGTTTAATAAAAAACTTGGGAACAGTTAATGAGATACAGATTTTTTAATATTTAAAAAGTGGCGTAACCACCTTTTCCTATATGCACTTAATTATTGGTTAGTGTTCAGTTTAAAGATGTTTGTAGTCGAAGGCTTTATATCAGAAAAAAAGTGAATTGTTTTGATGCATTTTTAATTTAAAGTTGATGTTTTTACTTGATATTTTTAAATGTCTTAAATTGAAATTGTATTGGTTTATTCAGACAGTATAAAAAATAGCCTTTGAATAGAATTGAAAAATTGTCAGAATGTGTTAATGCTTGAACTGATGGTAGTTTTTTGTAAGTTTTAGACATATTTAGTTTCATATCAGCTTAGAATGTAAAGCTTTTGACAGGTGTGTTGGGATTGGTGTAATACTTAATATGATGCATTGATCGTTTTGTTATAATTTGTAATTGAGTTGTGGTATAACCATGTTTATGTGTAGCCATATTCAGTGGCATTTTAATGAACTACTTAAATCTGTATTTAATCTTTGAAAATGCTTTATTGCCAGGAAAGCTTTGAATAATTGAACATATCAAACTTGATTTTTTTTACAGCTTATCAATTTTCCTTACATTTTTAAAGCTATAATGTGTAAATTTTTCTTATTGTTATCAATTGACTTGGCCGGGCCAGGTTGTCATCTGCATAACCAGGTTAACTTGTGCTTAACCAAGTTTGATTTGCATGGTCTTTAACCTGATTACCATGATTAACTAGGTTAGTGTTATTGAAAGGGCTGCAACGTAATTCATAGCATAAAGTTTTAGCAATCATAGGTCTGCTTTTTAGACTAAAATCCATTGTTACAAGATTAGTGTCAAGGCCTACTTCTTTAGACACAGGCTGCGCCGCAGCGCATGCAACTGATCCACTTGGTGTGCCACTGACAATCAGCATACAGCATCGTGTCAAACACACAAAGCAAAGATAGATTTGTTTGATGGTCATACAACCATCTTACTGTGCAGTGTACACTGGCCTTGCTAAACAAAAATTAGATTACCTGGTTACATTGCTTTTGTCCCTGGACATGGCAATGTATTCCGTATAAATGGTTATCTGGTAGGATGACTTAGTCTAGTGCTTAATTTCCTGTGTAACTAGGAATACGTTGTAAATTCAGTGCCCATGGAGTGGATTCAGTTAAGCTCTGTCCACACTATCAAATTCCATGTGACAATTACATGTGATAAGTGGGTGACATAACTCACAGATAATTGGTTCCCAAATCTTCCAATGTTTTCACTGCTTTTTGCTGCTAATTTTAGTGCTAATTACCTCACAGAATTCAGTGCCGATGGGTATCAATATGTGCGTGTTAAAGGATGTTTAATTAGATTTCCCAGAAGGGACTTCTTCCCTCTTGGGACCTCTTTCAACTTGAGTGTGGACAGAGTTTCACATATGGTGCATGGCTCTTTATGTATTCAGAGAATTAAATCTTGAGAATTTTTGTGGGGGTTATTATTATAAGTGAATTATGTTGTCTTTTTACAGCTCTATGTTATAAATTATAGGCTGCTGGTCAGTCTGTGTCTGGATATTAAATCTATTGTATATAAGATGATACATTATACTCAGATTATTAGGGTGTTATTTACAATAATATCTGATGTTTAGATCTAAATAAACTAAGCAATTGTTTATGTAAATAATGTTGGTTTTTTTTATTTACTTTGTCTATGAAATTAGGCATTTATGGATGGATTTCTGTGCATCTGTGAAGTAGCAGTCTGAAAATCTAGGCATCTAAATTTAACATGTAACTCCGCTTAAAACAAGAAGGGTGCATAAACACATTCACACGTACATATATTCATGCATAACTTTTATTGAAGCAAACCATCTTTAGCTAGCTATGATACAGTAGCAAGTCATTAATAAAAAGACAACTGTCTTATCCATAATGTGGCGAATTCACAGTAATCACTCATTTTAGCTCCCCACCCAACCAATTAAAGAGATTTATAACCTTTGCTGACAATTATACACTTTTGCTACCTAATCACTATTGAAAAATTATTGCATTTTGTTCCCTTATTCACTATCTGTTTCTTGAATGTTTTTTGCATTGATTCCTCTGTTAGCTGAAACATCTTATAGCTGAGTTTGCGGCTGTTGTGAGATGATATCAGCGTAAATCCAAGGCTATCCATTATATCCACCAAGTGATCATGTGTTAGGTAACGTGAATTGGTCACACAGGCCAACGGTAAAACAATCTGTAAATAGATGAAATATTTTAAAATGCTACTTATTATTCAAAGAGGATCTCAACTGGCAAAGCAACAGTAATAATGTACCATATAAGGGAAGAATAACCAATATAAAAATACAATACTATCAATAAATATTTTAAGCGAATTAATGTTTTTAGAATTTAATATTCTAAAAATATTTATTATTTATACATTAATTACATACAAATGCATCCTAGGGTAGGAACACTGCAATACTCCACCAAGTCCAAGTAACTGGCATATACCACCATAACAGAAGCTATTCATTTTTAACGCCCCACTTTGAATGAATTCCCCCTCTAAAGCCTCATTTGGAATAAACTCCTCCCTCAAATAAACACCCTAATCATGCAATAGTATATTTGACAGTAATTATGTGTTGTAATTTCACAATTTATATTAAAATTAAAGGGAGTTTACTTGAGTGTATACGGATCAATTTTACACCAAAAATTAATGCCTCCCTCGAATAAAACCCCCTCAAAAACCCTTCTTAACAATGAACACCCCTGTGACGTTTATTCAAATAAATACGGCATAAGAATTTAAGCTGTAATAATTACATTACAGGCCTACATTAATAAATTACAATTATATTCTGTGAAAATAATATTAGTATCTTAGGGTACTTACAACTAAATATCCCATTTTTTTACAAAATCGATGACATTTCTGAAGCATTTCCCCTCGACGATGCGGTGAGCCAACAAAATTTAGAACAAGACTTAGAACAATGACATCATAAGCATCACTTGGCTTCACCTGAAATATTTTTTTTTATTTACTGTTATTACATTGTTTATATTATTTTGTTAATTGTTTAATTTCTTGTAATAACATTCTATTTTGTTGAGATCTATATTTGTTTTGTATATTCAAACGATTATAATATGAACTAGTGAGAAAAACAAATGCTTAAAAAGGAAAAAAGGATTTTATGTGCACCAGTGACTCTTTAAGTCCTGTCTTCCCCAAATTTACAATATTATTATGATTTTACTATACTGTACAATCGTCTCCCGAAATTCAGTGGCGATGTGTATTACTATGCACAGCAACGTAAAATTAGATATCTCCTGGAAGTGGCTTCTTCCAACTCAGGATATAGTAGAGAAAATTATTAACACCAAAGGGCTCACTTTAAGATCAAAAAAGTCAGCTTTGAGGATCCCAGGTTGAGTAGGATTAATATCAATTGCAGTACTATCAATCCACTTCTGTTTCGCATAGTTCAGATGCAAAGCACCCACATCTAGTAATCTCAGTTTCTACGAATACAAAGATTTCAACAAATAAATACACTCAGTTATTTTATATGTTCTTTCACATGGTAGGAAAAATGTGAGGTCTCACCACGAAATGAGACGCATCGTTGGTGAAATCATATTGAGATATTCACCAAAAGGTTAAAGGCAACATTTTTACAAAATTTTGATTTTAATGTTTTTGAATAACTTGATAATTATATTTTATGATTGTGTACTTTTTAAGTGAATTTTCTTACTAAAACAGTGTTCTCTTCGCATATTCTGTAATACTAGTCCTATTATTTGTACAGGTTAGTTTATCTTTGAGGTGGATTTTCTCAAAACCTGGTTCTCATACACCTAAACTTTAAATGCTAGCATCTCTGGATCTACTTAGACCAAATTAAAGTTTATAATGTCATCTACCAAAATGAAATATAAACTCATTTTTTTTATTTTCTAATGATGAGACTCATTTTGTAGTGAGACCTCACAAATGTAAATTGATGGAATAAATGCAATTCACAAATATTGTGATAACATAAATACACATGTTGAAAGGCTACCTTTCCCAGATACACCTTACCTCCTTCCTCTAGTGAGAATCATAAATTTAAAAAAATAATAAATTTGGCAAGAAAACACAATTATGATGAATCCTATTGATTTCAACTTACCGCAGAGGTTGTTGACTTTATACGATGCTCTTTCAACTGTGCCACAACCCATTTTGCTGAATTTGTTCTTCCATTTTTAAATTCACCTAAGCTTGATGTTGCTTGGTATGTATCTATACCTCCCACCTTCAAATAATTGAATGCAAAAAAACTTCATTTGCAGCAATACTTTTTTTTTTACCTTGTTTAGTGAGCCCGTCGCCCGCAAATAATGATAATTTCTAATAAAAAGTTTTATTTTTGGCCAATTAATGCAACTGCTGCCACAAAAAAAGGAAATGTCAGAAAAAAATTAAACTTTTAATTATTTTTATTATGCCTTTTATTATGCCCGCTGCTGCCTGGAAATCTCCACAATAAGATGTGTATTTTGTGCTATAAGGATGTCATGACCCCTGTCTCTTATACACATCTAGATGTGTATAAGAGACAGGCCCTAAAGTGATGTTTTGTAATCTTCTGAAAATGTAGAAAATTGTTGATGGCCCCTTACACAGTAATGCAATAATATAATAAAATTTTTTTTTTTTGTTTGTTATGAAAGGTGGACAATAAAAGAATAAATGGGATGGCACTGTGTCAAACTACCTGTTCTAGTTCTTGTGCGATCAGTTTCATCTTCTGATTTTTGTTAGGCTGTTTGGTGTCCACTGATTTTAATCTCTCTAGTTCTTTATTTAAAACATGATATCTTGAAATCAGCTTACAGTCTTTCTTTATCTTTTTCCTATATTAAGAAATTCATCAACAATTGGATTTAATTTACTTCACTTATTAAGAAAAATACTATAAATACAAGTATAAAGGCACATTTTATTCTAATCAACTCCAAAATACTACTAAATATTACCCGAAAAAATGAAAGAATGTTTATAAAAAATGCTGTATTCTTGATTTTATAAAATATAAATTATCAGACAAGTGGTGCTCAGGGGAAAAACAAATGGAAGAAAAAAACAACAAATCATAGAAGATGCTTACAGCTGGTGTTGGCTGGCAGTAACAGGTACACGATTCTTTTTCTTCTTCATTTTGTTTGAAGTCTACGTCTTCAAGATGTCTATCATGAGTTAAAAGACAGGAAATGTAATACCTTTAAAACCGAATAGGGGCCTAGGCCTAGCTCATTAGGATCGAAAAGAATTGAATTTTGAGGTATTTTCATGTTACTTTCTTAGACTATTATCGAGGGGAACGTTTTCCCTTTAACAGGGAATTGTTATTTGCATAGAAGTCTAGACGTATACTACATGATCACTTCCTCACTTTAGCAAACCACACAACGAGAACTCTTTTCCGCGAGAGAACAATAAGACTGTGTCAAGTATGATACTGTATTGTAGTTCTAAACTCACATAAAAACAGAGTTTAAAATCGAACAGTTTTCTCTTTGATTAAGTTTAGAGTTGACATTACCTTATGTTTTGGTCAGGAAGTACCCTATTTATCAATTTTATGAGATCTTATGATAAAATTTCTTTAGGCTTAAGCCTAGCCTAGATGAGCGTAGCAGTATTCATCAGCCAGGCCCAGTATTCAGCTTAGGCAAAGTCATCATGGCCTAGGCTTGCCTAGGCCCATACCGTTATCGTCATGAATATGCATCACTTATTGTAACCTCCCCCTCCCCCACCACCAATCAAAAACATAGTTACGGAACGGTTCTAAAAAGCTCTTCAATCAAGAATCCGAACCGATTTATAGATTTTGGCAAAAATGTCTTTTTAATGGTGAAGTTTAGTGAAATTTTTGAAATTCTTTGAAGACCATGTAATCTTTAAGGCGTAGGGACCAGGGGTGGCGCCAGGATTTGCCGGAGGGAGACCGGTGCCCCGACAAGGGGTCAGATTTCCCCGACGAAAGTAATGGCGTGGTCGAGCTTCGATTAAAAAGGTTTGACAATTCAGGGGTTCAAAGGCTTATTTAATCGATTTTAGAGTTTACTTATATGTAAAAAATACATACAATTGTTTTTCTCCCCGACGAGTTGTGCTTTTTCTCCCCGACGTGGGGGGGGGGGGACCCTGCCCTCCCCCTCCCCCACCGCTAGCGCCACCCCTGGTAGTAGGGACCTTGGATAAAGGCCAAAATACAAATATTTTATCAACCTCTAATTTAGGAAACAGAAACTCATCTACAATCGTTCAAATCGTCCAACCACCACCACGAAAGATATGGCCTACATACATGCATGTCATGAACAAATAAGTTTGCAAGTATTGTGGCCGTTTTAGAGGGGGAGGGGGATGGCCGAATATTGGGAGACACTTGGCCTTTCCGGAGTGTCATTCAAACATCAAACTTATCAACTGAGAAATCAGAACTGCCAAGAATATAGGTTTGTCCAAAGATCTTATAAACACAAGATAGCGTTCTCCGCGATTTACGCGTGCAAATTCTGTAATAAGGCATGAATGGCGCCCTCTTGCTAAATTGGAAACTTTTGACCCTTGACCGCTCGACTTTACCATTAGGGTATCAATCCTGTGAAAAGCAGAACAGGAAGCGATTTTTTTTTCCGTACGAAACATTTGCATGAAACTTCACTCGGGCCATCTCGGATTGACTCAAGTGAGTACGATACGAGGAACAAGAGCAGACACTTCGCAATGTCGTGACGCTCGAGTACTATTATTGCTCTTTCTATGTTTACCTACGGTAGGCCTATGAAATTTCACGGACTTGTGATGTACGGCCGGGCACTGTGTAACTAACTGTGACCTTCTTGGATGTTATTAAATGTGTATATTATCTACAACAACAACAGCTAGTACCTCCTGTTATAAAGTGTAGATAGGTACAGTTATACC